GTGCTGAAACTACCAATCCCATCATGCACTTGCCTCTGGGTGTCATGCCTGTGGCTGTCAGAGTCTTGCAATGCCTCATGGGACTTGTAGTTTCCCCACAGCTAGGGGGCCAGAGATTGCCTAGCCCTGCCCTAGAGATTACAAAGAGAAAAAGGAAGATCCATATTGACCTATAACAACTTGACCTCTCATATAGGGATGAGCTCAGCTTCGGACAGGACCTGGTCCAAACACGGAAGGAAGCTCCCTCTGCTGCCATCCAATCAGCTGCAGCCTGGGAATTCCCTGCCCGTATCGCTTCTTGGCCTTTTGGCTAAGATCAAGTGTAGTATCTGTTCTTAACAGTCTCAACCCGTCAGGAGCCTTGCGCCCCGGGGGGGGGGGGTCGGGAAATGGGTCCCTTCTTTGGAAGGAACTTGCACCCGTGTGCACGTTTTTGTGTGCTGTGATTTCACGGTTCCCTTTTTTTGTTCACAGGGGGAAGTTTGTTTAGACGCACGTTCCACGGGCTTCAAAAACAATCTGTTCTTATCAGTTTTCGGTGGGGAAAAGAACCGTCCTTGCGGGGGATGGTTACTTAGTACTCGCTGGAGTGAAAGAGCGTGTGGGGCTGCTTCCTGTTAAAAGGGAACAGCCCAGTACATGGCTTTCTGACTGAACAGATGCGAAGCTTGGTCTGGCTGGAGGGTTGGGGGCGGCAGAAGCCCGTGGTGTTGTGCCCCCTGGGGGTGGTGTCCCAGGGGTGCTCAGAAAGTAACTTGGGTATGGGACCCCCCATGACTCACTGTAGCACTCGGTCACACACCATATTGCATTTTCTGCACATCGCCTCTTGGACAGGCCTTATGGCTAGTCCGGGGCAATATTTTTGCACTCCGGCCCCTAAGGCCTGTCAGCGTGGTGCACTGGCACTGTAGTATTATTTATAGCACGATTGGCACTTTTTTATTTTAAATTTTGACCCACAGATGCAGCGGGTGCAGGTTCCTTCGGGGCCTTTTCCTGATGTGGGGAGGAGATTCTGTGCCCTTATATAGGGTTCTCTGTCTCCAACCCAGGAGGGGGTCTCTCTTCTGCCTAGTACTGTGAGGGACCTGTTTTGGCAGGTCCTCAAAGGATGGGGGTCCACCGGCCTTCGGGTTGGTGGACCAACAGTCTCAACCCTTGTCAGGAGCCTTGCGCTCGGGGGGGTCGGTAATCTAGGTCCCTTCTTTATTGAAGGACCTTGCACCCGTGTGCACGTTTTTGTGTGCTGTGATTTCATGGTTCACTTTTTTTGCTCACCGGGGAAAGTTTGTTTCCATGCACGTTCCACGGGCTTAAAAAAAATTCCCTGCCCGTAGCTGCCCATAAGCAAAGGGACAGGGGTGCAGTGACATCATTGACCTTATATGGCCACCTGTCTATATCTGGTCATGTGGCCTTGTAAGGTAAATTCGGTCACCACAAGCATCCACGCCCCTTTGTTTATATTCCACAATGCCCCGGCCCGCAGCTGATGGGGCAGATGGCACTTCCTTGTTCAGAAGAGCTCAGGTCCCATTCAAACCTAAACCCATCTCCACTTTATCTTCTTGGCAGCCTTTAAGGGGCCAGTGACTCCCATTGCTATTGCATTGAGCGATTTTTGGGGATCCCGCACCCTAACCTTCAGACTCTGAGCAAAAGAAACCTTGAAAAGACTTCCGGCGCCCAACTTTCTGATTACCGCACAAGAAGCCAAGGAATTCCGCCTTGAGAACAGCAAGCTGCACCATCTAGGACAGGGGTGGGCAAACTCCGCCCCTCCAGCTGTAGTGAAACTACAAATCCTATGATGTATCTGTCTTGCAATGCCTCATGGGACTTGTAGTTTTCCCACAGCTGGAGGGTCGGGGTTTGCTCAAAGGAAGATCTATACTGACCTATAACTACAGACACGGACCTCTCTCATATAGGGATGAGCTGCTCCAAACACGGACGGAAGCTCCCCCTGCTGCCGCCCAATCAGCTGCAGCCAGGGAATTCCCCGCCCGCAGCTGCACATAAGCAAAGGAGCAGAATGCAGCGACGTCATTGTTCTTATATGTCACATGGCTATATTTGTAGTTTCACGACAGCTGGGGGGCCGGAGTTTGCCCACCCCTGATCTAGGGGGTCATCCTCAACCATCCCGAGATGGGTAGAGCTACATAGGAGACATGTAGGCAATGGCAGGGTGACGGTTGTCCTGCAAGATTCCCAATAGGAGATCACAGCTACGAAATCCATGCTCCAATGTCCCTTCAATGGGGCAACCACCCCAAAACATGTTCCAGACATTGGGGGTGCAGTCTCTGAGGGGTTCCTCATGTAATAGCCATGAGCTGGGGGGGGCTCCTAGTGAGCATGGTGTCCCCTGGTTGGGGGGAGGAGAGTTCCTCACATTCAACTTCCCATTCAGATTTGTTTTGGTGGAGAGGTAAGTAGGAGTATAGTGTACAGTAGATATAGTACCTCCACCTTGTGGGGAGGAAACACTCATTTACGGAATGTGTGGGGAGGAGAGATGATGGTGCGGTGTCATGGTTTGCTTCCACGTCAGAAATCCAAAAGCTCAGGGCAACCACTTGGGAGATCAGGACCAGAGCGTTGTCACCCTGTAACAGGAAGTGCCTGTAGAAGGATCTTCCTGGCGGGATCACCAGGGTATCAGCAAATTTAGACTGACTTGTGAAATGAACATATCAAAGATGATGAGATTAGTTCCTGGTACAATTTTCAGCATACTGATGGGGAATTAATCTGCGTCTTCACTTTCACCACAATGAGAGGGAGGCCATAAAGGAAGCTGCACATCTGAGCAAGTAAATGGAATCCTCATCTGTGGATCACATGACTGGCTGAGCAGAAGTGAAATCTGCTTCTATATCCCCAGGCCACATGGCATACACCCCTTTGTGACTGGCCAGGATGGAATATTCATATCCCAATACGCTGTATCTTCTCATTATCTATCGGAGAACGATCCCCAGGAGCAGGCAGAAGACAAACAGGGAAAACCCAACAAGCCCAGAAAATGTAAATCAGAGCTCAGGCTGGCATACAAGAAATAAAAACTTGGAACACTCCAAGTTTAAGGCAGGGGTGCACAAATTAATATGGAATTCAGGAGCCAGTTTGCCTAATCCAGGAGCAGGCTCCATGGACTAGAGAAAACCTCAAAAAGTTAGGCGCCGGTTGTAATTTTAAAGGACCTGGCTCCTGGGATTTGGCCAGCCCTGCCCCATACTTATATGTAAGCTTTCCCCTCCATATCTACCCCACCGAAAAACTCCTACATACCCTCTTCAGTGTAACAGAATGGGTAGCTCTGCGCTGGCATTCCCACGTTCAGAACTGGTCCGAAGCTGAGCTCCTCTGAACCCGGATGCTACATGGGGCCAATCAGCTGCGTGCCAGGACATTCCCTGCCCAGCAGCTGCACACAACACAAAAAGGAGTGGGATGCTTGACTTTATAAGGCCACATTAGGTTAAGGTCATAGAACAACGAAGACCATATAAAAGGTCAACGTCATAGAACAACGAAGACCATATAAAAAGGTCAACGTCATAGAACAACGAAGACCATATAAAAAGGTCAATGTCATAGAACAACGAAGACCATATAAAAGGTTAACGTCATAGAACAACGAAGACCATATAAAAGGTCAAAGTCCTAGAGTAACTATGACCATATAAGGGTCAACGTTCTACACCAACTATGACCATATAAGGTCAACGCCCTACACCAACTATGACCATATAAGGTCAATGACATCACTGCACCCCCATCCCTTTGGTACATGCAGCTGCAGGCAGGGAATTCCCTGGCCGCAGCAGATGGAGCTTCCTTCCATGTTCAGGGGAGGAGAGGTCAGAGCTTAATGAGAATGGAGTCCCTAATGCTCATGAGTTCTCCCACTCAGTCCATGATTCCATCAAAAATGGGACACTTGGTCCTCCTTGCGTTCTTCATCAGGATCACCCAGCTCATCCGTTCTTCATCAGGATCACCCAGCTCATCCCCTTTTCTTTATCTGCTTCCACCATGAAATCCGAATTGGATATACGTATGCTCCGCCAATCATCTGCTTGCCATACACACATCACCACCAATGGCTACCATACGCCGGCACACAGAGAAAACACGACACGACGGACATGCTGGATTATCTCATTTTAATACAAAGTAAACATTAAAGCATTCAAGATGTATCTGTTTCTTAAAAAGGCCCCTCCCACCCCTAAATAAAGACCCCCCCAACCCCT